CTGGTTCCCTCTGCCCGCGAGCTCCAGTGGCGCTGCCTGGGCAGGTGAGGCTGGGGGCGCCCTGGCCCTGCGGGGTGCAGCAGCGAGATGGGGGTCCGAGGCGGAGGGCTGGGCTCTCCCGCGGCTGCAGCTCCTGCGCAACCCAGCCCCGCTTCTCCGCAATGGAAGGGAAATTGACCGAGGCGTCAGGCTGGCTGCACCCCGCTTGCTTCCTTCCCTTTATTGTCTCCCATGATCCCCTGTGTTCCTTGGCTTTAGGGTGACCAGATGTCCTGATTTTATAGGGACAGTCCCGATTTTTGGGTCTTTTTCTTATATAGGCTCCTATTACCCCCCACCCCCTGTCCCGATTTTTCACACTTGCTGTCTGGTCACCCTACTTGGCTTCCCCCTCCCTCTGCCCCTGCTCCCTGCAGGAGTCTGTATCCTCTGGCCTCCTGCCCCTTGGGGGAGGGACAGCTCAGAAGTTTGAGCATTGGCCTGCTAAACCCAGGGTTGTGAGTTTAATCCTTGAGGGGCCCACTTAGGGATCTGGGGCAAAAATCAGTACTTGGTCCTGCTAGTGAAGGCAGGGGGCTGGACTCAATGACCTTTCGGGGTCCCTTCCAGCTCTAAGAGATATATATATATATATATGGAGATATACCTAAGCTCTCAGAGCTGGTGCTTTCAGACTGGGCTCGCCAACCGGGCAGCAGCCCACCCAGGGCAGGCTGGATCCAAGAACTTCTGGGGCCAGACCCTCAGCTGGTGCAACTGGGCTTCACTCCCTGGCCCAGGATCTGTCCTCCCGCTGCAAGGCAAAGATCAGGGTAGGTCTCCCAGCGCACAGTCTTTCTTCAGGGCTGGGAGCATGGCCTTTCTGCACGTCCCAGCTCATCTCTGTGCCAAGCAAACTTGGATGTAGCCTGACGGCAGGTTAGCCGTGAACTGTGCTGGCCACGTGAGGGCGCCTTGGGATAATGCTGCAAGGAGGGAGTAGTACCGCACTGGAGCTGCGGTGTTAGCTGTGCCCCCATCCTGGAGGCTAGCTGAGAAGTAGCAGGAACACAGTACAGATTTGTGGGATTGCAGGATCTTCCTCGGAGCAGGGCCGGCTCCAGGGTTTTGGCCGCCCCAAGCAGCCAAAAAAAAAAAAGCCGCAATCGCGATCTGTGGCGGCAATTCGGCAGGAGGTCCTTCACTCCGAGCGGGAGTGAGGGACCGTCCGCCGAATTGCCACCAAATACCTGGACGTGCCGCCCCTCTCCGGAGCGGCCACGCAAAGCACCTGCTTGCCAGGCTGGTGCCTGGAGCTGGCCCTGCCTT